AGATCCTCCGTGTTTGACTGATGGAGTTCTGACTGTAAGACTCGTAAGGCTTAGTATGATTCAACTTGGAGTTGAGAGGACGGCTTACTATTAATTTCGCAATTCCAAGGCAGAGCTGCTCAAATAGAGGCGTGGCACTCTTGTCTGCCCGGATCAAGAAGCCCCAGTAGTTGCTCGCTGGCTTGTGTGGGGAAGACATGTTGATATTGAAGAAGCGGTTTCCCTGAGGCAGATTCTTTCAGAAACGATAGTCAAGCCTATATATATCCATTCCATTGGTCTCCAACACGGCTATGCCCGAGATACTTAGGCAGATAAGCGTTCACTCGGGTTTGAAGTTTTGGTATGTTTTGGGTCAGTAAGATCGGGTGCCAACTGGCGCCGTATGGCTTGTGGGATGCTTAGTTATTGCGGAGTAAAGGGCGCCAAACAGAAGGATAATTCCGTCATGGCGCAACGACGGCTTAACGGGAAGCTGTGGTATAAGGGGGAAAGCGAATATTTATCATTCCCGCCGCAGCGTCGCAGATGTGACGTTGTTGCTGAACTGAGGCGCTGCCGTCGCTGATAATAGATTGGAGTAACGTGGAGATATATTACCCGTGGTGCAGGCCCTGGCGTGAGTGCTTGCAGAAACCAATGGAGACGCTGCAGGATGCCGCCTAAGCACCAACCAAGCCGCTTTTATTATTTAATATTCCTGTTAAACAGTGCCCAATACGTTCCCTGACCGCACATCTCGATCAATGGCCCCACATGCCCATCGCCATATCGTTTCTTCTTTGTAACTCACTGGCGTCATGCACCCGGGTCAGATGTGAAGGTCACCGAGATCGAAATATCCAACATATCCCGTGTTTTCATACGTCAAGGGAGACCTAACAAAAGCGTGATTGTCGTGTCATCGACTCATCGCTGAACTCGCCAGCTTACCTTGCCAGCACACTTGATCCCTGTGGGCGCTAACCAAACTTAGCTCCCGTATTTCGCCATGGATGCCTTGACTTGGACTGTTTTTGACGCCAACCTTCCAAGGTCGTTACGGTGTGGTCACGAGATCACATGGCGAGGTTTGTGCCTGGCAGAGGCCGAGACGCAAGACATCGCGAGAGGGCGAAGCAAGCAGGGGCAGGAAACTTCGTGAGGCGGAGGTGATATCATAGGTTGAGGATTTCGGAGTCGCTGAGCATATTTTACAGGGTAAGGCGCCCGGAACATATCACGCCATAATCGAACAGCCCAAAGATGACTTTACCACCTGCTTATTTTTAACTAAACAACACATTGAAAAAGAAAACTGCTTCCTATTCTCTGAATTCGACAGGTGCAGAGCGGAAACGTAAAGTAACATACAATGTAAAATAAATTCAAAGGAAACATAGAAGATATATAATGGATAATTTCATATACAAGCAATGACAATTTGCGCCCGTCCCCTAACGCCTTACTTTAAAAATATAGACTCCTTGGTATTCATTCTCTCAAGGGTCTAGAATTGAAAACTCAAAAGGATCCAGTTATTGAATCGCTGACAAAACCCCCCATGCACTTACGCTCGAATGCAGAGCATGTACCAAATCGATTCGACGGCAACATAACGCATTCATCAATATCTCCTCCGAGTTGGCTCTGGGCTTGGGCTGCGGGTTACACTCCGTTCATCACGCCCTCTCATCTTCAGCCACTTCTTCGTCGAGAGCTCGAGCTCTCTCTCCAGCTCAGGACTGGGTTCCTTCCGATGGATGAAATTGCAGAACCCTCCGCGAACACACCCTTCTCCACTATTCAGCCGACAACATGCTTCTCGGAAATCGGTGACTGGGGATAGCTCGCAGTATATGGGTCGCGCCGCATACCATCGAGAATTCAGCGCATCGCAGGCCTGCTGCGCTGAGTCTTCGTATTTAAATCGAGCATACACGTTTCCGATTAGGTCTGATATTTTGCGAAAAACAAAATTGCAGTTATTAGCACAATCCATGGAAAATCCAGCGTGGGCCAAAAAAGCTTACGGTCATTGTTATTATCGCACACTACGACCTCTTCAAGTTCGCCATATTTGCACATTTCACACCAGAAATCTTCATAGAAGGCATCGAAGTGGTTTTGCAGCTGGCTCGGGTTCATTTTATTCTTGGTGTCATATGCCGGGTTTTGGTACAGATTTGGCAGGAGGATCGTCTGCGAGTATGAAGGCTTTACGTGCTTTCGCGAACACCGATCACCATGGCGGCAGGCACCGATTTTGTAGTAGAAAGAGCAGTTGACCTGTATTTTTGGTTTTTTGGGATGTCAGAACTGTTTGCTCAGGGTTCTACTACTGGTTGCGGAAGTAGACTGAATAATTTTGAAAAAGAGGTCACTCACCTTGTCCTGCTCAGTTCCAAAGATTGAAGCGAGATAGTTCGCCATAGTTGATGATTTTATAAGAAGGATGTATGGTCTGAATGTAGCAGCAACAAGCAAATGGTGCGCGATTGCGAGTTTGTTGAGGTTCTTGATTGATATGAAGCCGTTGTGATGGTCAAATTCGGAGACTTTTTTGCCATCGTGATTATTAATACGAAGCTAGCCACAAGCTAGTTAGCACAGTTTCTCCATCCGAGCTAAATTGCACCATCGCCCCTCTCGCTGGAAACCACCAATTCATAGAATATGCTATCTTTTTTTGGTATTTTATAGCCCTATTGGCTTTTTATTAATAAGATATGTTGGTACTCCGTACAGACTAGGTGCACTAGCAAAAAAAGAGAGGTTTCGTTGAACACGCGAAGCAAACCATTAACCGTTCCATGCAACCCATCATTGATAATTACTCATCCAGCCCATTGCCAGGACAAAAAGAAAGGAAAAGAAGAAAAAGGAACAATA